AGTTTTGCTCATTTTTTCAAAATCTCCTGTAGATAAACCTTGACCACGATAAACGGTAAAGGTGTTAGCAGCAGTTGTATTAGCATATTGTTCCTTGTGTAGTTGTTCAATTTGGCGATGGAGATCACCAATGAAGAAGCCCATATGTGTGATGATATTACCATCCATCATTCGTAATGCACGATTGAGCATCGGATACAAGAACATCTGACAGGTGTACCAATAAACTGGAGTTTTCTTGTAGTACTGAGTTTCTAATCGTTTAATATTAACCATTTCTTCTTCATTATCGACAAAAACATCACAACAGTGGTTAAAATAATCTTGGATGTGCTTCTGGTCGAACTTGATGGTTAATATGATCTCCTTGAGGATCTGAGTATACATAAAAGAAGGATCTAATTGATCCAACTTTTTATTTGTTCCCACAAAACTCATGGGAATGGCATTCTGCTCACATTGATGGGCAGCTTCTTTTAGTGCTTCACAGATGGGTGTAATATCTGTGAAGACACCCTTTATTTTGGGCCAATCCTTGGTCCATTGTTCATGATATTTTTTATTGCCACAAAAGATAAACATTGAATCGACTTGAGACATATTGTGCACACGAGGCATAAAATGTTGTCCAAGTGATCCAGATATGATCATGCATACCTTTTTGTCGATGATGGTTTGAATAAATTCAAGGCATTCATCACCATTTGTATATGTATTGATGTCATTAACAGCACATCGTAATTTTGTGATTGTATTTTGACAATCATCATTTGTTTCGTCAATGTTGCTGTCTAACCAGATTAGAAGAACACTTTGCACCTGTTGGATATTGATACGTTGACGACCTTCTGCACCTTTTGAAACTGTAGATACATTTGTTGTTGATTCTCCTTTGTTCATTGTTTGATGCGTGAATGATTTGAATTGTAGTTGTTTTGTAAAATTTACTAGTGAAGTAATGATCAAAAGCTATTCTTTTTATACGTGTCTACTTCCTTTCGAAATGTTTTTTTCTTTAACTATTTATGGTATTGCTATGAAAAAAAACAACTGAAGAACGAAAAAAAGCAAACTGATGAGACATTGTTATGTCTTTGACAAACATCAAAATACTCCAGGAGCAATAAATTTTTTACTTTCTTTGATGGAGGAAGAACGTGTAGAGTCATGTTTGTTATTGGAGAATCCCAACTGAAAAAAGAATTTATAATAGTTGAATATTAACTGAACTATACAAGTTGAGAACATAATTAATCATCGCGAATTAGTAGACATGAAAATTTTGCAAAAATGATTCAACTAGCTTTTATCATTTTTCTTGTTGTATTCTGTTGACTGAAAGCTTGTGTGTAATCATTATATAGATAACAAAGATAAACTTGGAAAAAAGTGCATTTGTCATTAACAAACGTAAAACAATAAATAAAATCGACAGAAAGTCTTCATCATGTCTCTTTCTTCTCTAGATTTGGGTAGGTTCTCTTGCGAATATAAATGTGGGTGAGTGTCGATTGATTCAAAAGATCACACCTACGCCCTCAAGATGAGTTTTACAAATCACTAGGAATACGTGACACATCAAAAAGAAAAACTTATTCAAATTGACCAAAAATTTTATCATATACATACGTTGGTTCAGACAGAGTAAGTGTTCATAAAAACTCATGTCGTAGATGTAAATTATGAACATCGAAAATAATATTAAATTATTACTGTTCTATTAGAAGTTCAACGATAGGATTGTTGACAATCTCCATAAAACAAACGTATATGAAAGAAGTTAAGGAGATATCTCATTTTCTTTACTAATTTATGTCGATCAAAAGAATTCAATTAGTTCAGCGTTTGTGAAACTATCCGATGTTTTCTACAAAACCTTGTTATTTATTAAAAAACAAAGGGTCATCAAATATCTGACAGATTATTTAATTGAAAAAATGTGTGTAATTTATGTTCCAATTGAAACTGACTCGTTACGAATGTAATTCTAAACTACTTCAACAAACGTTTTTAATGCAATTACACACGAAATTGGTCTGATTACTGAGAACCATAATACTCATATTCATTATTTAGACACAATATGTGGAAGATGAAGAGAATAACTACATTTACATTCTTCGTCTGAAAATCAATTACGAAAAAATGATGATTTTTTAACTATTTATTACTTATTTTTATCGAAAAAATCTATAATGTTTGATCAAAAAGAAGTTTTATAGACTATATTATTCATACGTTTGCGGTACTAATTTTTAAAGTATACATATCTGTTGCGGAACATCGCGAAATTTCACTTGGAATAAATAAAAACAAAGGAATTCAATTATATAAGGTGTTTGTCTCCGATAGTTTTGTTTTTATATCTTTCTAGATTTTATTAGATAATAAAAAGTAAATCAAGCAAAAAAGCGTAACATATACATTTCAAAAAAAAAACATTCTTAGTTTTATGATTTGAAAAATAATAAATGAAGTTATAATTGTTTATTATTATTTTTTTCTTCGTCTTGATTTAGCTAAATTTGTTGTTGGAGTTAAATTAGCTGTAGTCGTTGTTGGACTATTTACAGTTACTTGACTTGATTCAAGTTCATCAACAGATAAATCTGTTATTTCTTTTAATTTCTGTTGACCATCAATAAAAAACATAAGATCACGTAATTGATCTTTTAATTCATCAATTTCCTATTTGAAAAAAACAAAATTAAAAATAATTTTATTTTCATATTTTACTTGATTTTTAGTTTTCATAGCAGTATCAAATTCTTCTTTTAATTTTTGTACTTCAGTTTGAAAATAATTTTGATTTTGTCTCAATTGTTCGTTCATTAATTTTTCTTCATCGAAATTAAGTTGAATTTTAGTCATCTTAGTTGAAGAACGTTTTTCTTGTTGTTGTTTATCTTTCACTAATGCATCTAGTGTTGTCTGTAATTGTTGTGCATGATCTTTTAATAATTTATTTGATTGTTCAAGTTCTTCTAATTTTTCATGAGTAACATCTTCAACAAATTGTAATTTTTCTTCAAAAAAACGTCGTTGGGATTCTAATTGACTCGTTAATAAATAAGTATACTAAATATATTCAAAAAAAATATTAGAAAAAACAAAAATCATTTTTCCTATTTTACTTCAAGTTCCATTGAATCAATTTTTTCTTGAGTTGTATTACTTTTTGATGTATTTTCAGTAAGGTCATCCTAAATTTTATCATAAATATGTATAAGAAAATATAAAACAAACTATTTACAATATCATAATTATTAACACCTTCACCACGTAATTCAACAAGTTTGCCATCACTTTTATTTTGTATAAGTCGATGAACATAATTATCACCAACATAATCCCAAACATGTTGTCGTTTTAAATCCATTGTATAAGTATGTTGAGTTAATTCAAAATGTCTATTTTACAAGAATTCAATTAGAATTTTTAATACAAAGAAAAATTAATTTGTACCCAAAAGCATGACCCTGTTTAAATCGACTGCAACCAACATGCCCACAAATTAAACAAATCCAAAGATCCTAATCAATAAAGAATATTCGGATATTTCTAAGATCAATTTTAATTATTACTTCTTGTGAACCACATTCAAAACATGATTGACCATCGATGACCTCCGGTGTTTGCACATAACGACAGACAGGACAACTAAAATTTTTAATTAAATAAGTATAGTATAAAAATAAAAAATAATTTTATTACCAACTATCACCCCATTTAATGAGACAATCACCATGAAAAGAATGATTACAAAGTATAGTTAATACTCCAGAAAGACTTTCATCCATTCGTTCAAGACAAATATAACATGGTGGTAATTCTGTCAGACCAGGTATAGGACATGATCCTTCCTATATAAATGTACAAAATTATATCAAGAAAAAACAAATACAAAGAGATACTACCTTAGCTGTACTTGTTATATCAACTTTTGCAACAAATGCTAAATGACAAACACCTTTTTCAATTGAATTAAACTGACGATTATTATAATAATCATAGAATTCATCAGCTTCTTTCTAAACAAACAAAAATAATAATTCTTCTATCATTATATAATATTTACTTGAGATTTGAATTTAATTAAACACATATATTGATTAGGTGTTGGATCACGAATAATACGTAAATATTCAATACTATTGCTAAAAAAAATAATAATCATAAGAATATATAATTCAATATTTTTATATCGTACTAAACAGGATAAATAAATGTGATTAATTCTCGACAAGCAACATCAGCTGGAATAGCTAACATAGCTAACATTTCACTATGTTTCGGTTCATTATTCGTCCCTAATGCTTTACTGAAGACAAGAAAGAAAGAAATCATTTATTGATTATTTAATTCAAAGTTTTCATTACTTGTCTTTATATAGATGTAAAATGCCTTTAGTTATATCGACAAGATGATTACCACAATAGAATGGAATTTGTAAATCAGGTGTTGTTGATACATGAGTAGATAATTCTATACCTTGAAATTGAAAAAAATAAATCTTAAAAATAATTTATTTTCAAAAATCATACGAGTTGTATCATTTGTTGTTGTTGATACTTTTCGATTATTTTTTGTTTTAGTATTATCTTTAATAGTTGGTAAATCACTAACATCAGTAAATGATGATTGTGTTGTTAATTGTTTTTGTTGCTGAGCTTCCTCTGCCATTGTTGTTGTTTTTGGTATAGCATCAATTTCATTAGTATTTGAAATATTCATTTCTTGTTGTTGACGACGTTTTGATAAATCAAGATAAGTCATTTCAATAGCATCACTCATTACGCTTGATGATGATGAACGATGATCAGGTAATGATAATGAATCTATATGGAAATAAAAAAATAATCGATAATCAATATTAATTTTACTTACCGTCAAACACATATGTTTCTACAAAAAGCTCGCGTGGTTCTCTTTGTCCGATACTAGCTGTTTTGATTGTTGGTGAATCTTTAATATGCGTATTTGAAGGTAACGTTTCTGTTAAATCGTGGAATGGAGCTAAATTTATATCAAATCAATTATAATAGATGTGAAATAAAAAAGTCAATGAGGAAAAAACCTACCTTGATAAACAATATATTTAAGTGTTTCTAAATCTGATTCAAATGCATCATCTATCTCAAGTCGAAGGCAAATGACCATTGGAATATATAGAAAATAATTTATTTCATAAGTCAGTAGATTAGAAAATGCAAGCAGCAAGCAATAAAAGATATATGTAAGTAAGTATGTGCATACATTGCCTTATATTTCTTTTCATATCATATTTAAGTAATGATTGGTGAATAGAATAACCATACATCTTTGTTCTTATACGAATTAACTCACTATTCTAGCGACATAATACATAAAATGAATAAGCATGTCGTCATATTTGTAATGAACACATGATGATGTAAATTCATTAAACTATTGCAATATTTTATAGAAAAATTTATTTTATTAACAAGATATTTATTAAGAAAAATAAATTAAATTTATTATGATTCTTTCTAAATATTTCAAGTTATTAGAGTTCAGGAAATAGTACAAGTACTTGATTTAGGTGTTGATGTCGATATTTTCTTTGTTTCAAGTTGATTCTTTGGTAATTTGAAGAGTGCATTTTGAAATCGATCGAATATATATTCTTCAAGTTCATCACCTGGATACTGTTTAGCATAACGTTGTCTATACTTTACAAATTCATTCCTAGAATCAACATGTAATTTTGATGCATATCGATACATTTCAGCAATAGATTGAAAATCAAATAATTTTACAAGAGTATCAGGTACTTTGTAGTCACTAAACCATTTCTGAATATCATCACTAGTCCATTCTTCAGGTGCCTTATTTATATCGAGCGTAGTCAGTTTATTTTTTTCAGTTTCTTTTCTCGATTGTGTAGGAATAGTATGTTGTTCTAATGATTCTGTCGTTGTTTCATTAATAGTAGCTTCAATTGTTCTCAACATTTCTTGAATTTTATTACGATCAAGTTCGGTTTTATCACCCTTGAAACGAACATATTTCAATCCAGCAATATGAATGTCTACAAAATTTTAAAACAAGAGAACTTTTCTATCACAATGAGAATTAAAAACAAATCATACCAAGCCAATCACAATCACCAGGTTCACCGATATAGACTGGAATGATTGATTTGTTGCGTTTGATTGCAAAAGTTGCTTCTTTACGACATGATTTACTATTGAAATATTCTTGTGAAAGAAGACATACAATAACTTTTGATTGTCCAATTCCACGAGCTATTTTCTCCCATAAATCTTCGCTTGATGAACAATGATCTCGATCAATCCAAATTTCGAAAAGATTTCGCTTTTTTTCAAATTCTGTAAGAATTTTGTCACAAAATTGATTATTATCATGAGCATAGCTAATCATAATCGTTGGTTTTTTACTCACAGCATTGGAAACTAATTGTGTATCTGATATTTCACCAAGATTGTAAAGAATACCATTGGCGGCATTTGCCGCACTTTCCATCGAACTTGAAACATATTTATTGAAAATTTTTTCACTGTCATTCATAGCTAAACTTTTAATAGCCGTTAGAAAATCTTGATTTTGTTTCAGTTTTGTTTTATATCGATCTTGAAATGAAATACTCCATAAAATATTTAATAGAGCCGTACATGTAAATTGTTTCGACCAATCTTCGGATGCGAATGAATCCCGATATTTGATGAATAAGTTAACGAATAAGGCAATTGTTGATGATGTAGTAAGTTGTGGATCAGTTTCTGCATGATTTAAAACATATTCAAGTGAGTGATCATCCACAAATAGTTTAGTAAATACGGCTAAGGGTTCTGATAGCTGGAAGCCCTCTGCTTGATGATGTTCATCCTGAAAAACAGATGATGATATTTTCAGTATATAAGTTAATCATATAATTTCTCAACTATTCTCTGAAAAATTGGTTGAACTAACATTATGGTCAATTTACTATACTAAGCATAATTCATAAAACTCACTTTGGCAGCGTCAATAGTAATCTGTAATAGTTGATTAAGAGTTCTATTCATTCGTTTATGATCTGAACGAATTTGTTCGGCTGTAGATAGCTGAGCAATGGCCATTGAAGTGACAAGATCCGCGACATCATCCAATTTTTCTGTGGTATTACTTTGGAAATCTTTCAGAATTTGAAGACCGTTTACTTGTTTGAGTTCATTAGTACCGTCATCATGCCGAGATATATTGTGAATGATACTGGCAATTTGTTGAGCTATTTTTGATGATGGTTTTATGATTTTCAGACATTTTAACATAGATTTTGCTAGATCAATACCGAGCAACCATGGTACAATATCTATACTAGCAGATAAATTCCAAAGAAATGATAAAATATAATCTGTTGTTGTATTATCATGAATAACTTCTTGTTTAATCTGTATTCTAAATTCTAAATCTCGTACCACTCGCTTATATATCGTGCGGAATAGATCAGTATATTTGCGTATGCCAATATCAGAATTTACAAAAGAAATATTTTGAAGTCTTGAAGTAGCATAGGATAAGAGCAAATCAGTTACGCATTTGTAAAATACTGTATGTTCTGTTACAGTATATTCGTCACCATTTAAATACGTAGAAATTTGTGATTTAGATAATAGGTCAAGTATTGCAAAGAAAATATCACGTGAGATTCTTTTTGTATCTTCTATCCGAATATTGGATTCGAATTCTAATATTTCATTATAAAACAATTGAACACAATCTCGAAAGTCATTGTTATCAGCAACAGTTATTTTAGGGATGTTCTCAATTAATTCATTACATAATAATATCAATTGAGAAAAACGATCTTGATGTTTATTGTCATTTATATTTAGCTGTTGAAATTTGTGTAACAGTTGTTGAAATATTGTGCTAGATTTGACCATTGATTTGATGTTTTTTGAAGATATTTTATCGATGGATTTTTCGAAATTTTCGATGACTACTTGGATGTCTTCGTTGTCAGATTCATCGTTCGTGGGAGAAGTTTCGTTTTGTTTTCTTTCACTCATACTGTACATAAATATATGTAATATATTTATATATTAGTAGCACAGGATTGTTATTTAAACGCAAGAAGATGTAGAAAGCATTAAATTATGAATAAATGTTACCTGTATAGTATGAAAAAACCGAACTCAAAACAACATTTGATAAGAATATGCTAAAAATCAAAAAAGTAAATATAGATAAAGATCTGAAACGATAGCTTAGGATAAAAAAACAGATGAAATATGAAGCGTGTGACGTTATCAATTTGCAAACTCTTTTTCTTTCACAGATTATTTCTGTCAGTTTATAACGCTAAATCTGTTGTACAATAGTTTATAGAGACATATCACTGAAGAATAAATGATCTCTTTGTTTCTGTACTACTATACTTCTATAAAATTTATTCAAAAATGAAGATAAAACAAGGGAGAGTTATTTCAATGCAGTATATTAGTCATAATGCAATAAAAATCCCATGTACTATCTTTAATTAAGAATAAATTTAATATTTACTATGATAGTAAAGACATCAAGAGAAATAAAAGATTTTAGTTATTCAGAAGTGCGCAGCAGACAGTTTATGTTATTGAAAATCTTAGATACTGTTCGAACTTGTTTTCAGTATTGTATCAGTTAATTCAGAAGTGAACTGAGGGT